GGAGTTTGGGACCAGTCTGGGCAACATGGTGAAACCCCGTCTCTACTAAAATACAAAAAAATTAGCCAGGCATGGTGGCGTGCGCCTGTAGTCCCAGCTACTCAGGAGCTGAGGCAGAAGAATCCCTTGAACTCAGGAGGCAGAGGCTGCAGTGAGCCGAGATTGCATCCCTGCACTCCAGCCTGGGCAACAAAGCAAGACTCTGTCTTAAAAAAAAGAAAAACAAAAAAATTATCTGGGTGTGGTGGTGGGTGCCTGTAGTCCCAACTACGCAGGAGGCTGAGGCAGGGAGAAGCGCTTGAACCCAGGAGGCGGAGGTTGCAGGGAGCCGAGATGGTGCCACTGCACTCCAGCCTGGGCAGCAGAACAAGACTCCATCTCAAAAAAAAAAAAAAAAAAAAATTATAATACCATATATTCTATACATTTTCTACATTTAGATAGATAAATCTATAGTGTTACAATCGCCTACTCAGTGCACACGGTGCAGGTTTGTAGCCTAGGAGCAGCGGCCTCTGCCTACCGTATTGCCTGGGTGTGTGGCAGGCCACCATCTTGATCTGAGTAAGTACCAGTTCACACGACAGAGTCGCCTAACACCGCGTTTCCCAGAATATATTCCCACTGTAAGTGATGCACCACTGCACACACACACACACACACACACACACAGCCTATTGGTTCTGTTTCCCCAAAGAACCCCCATCAACACACCTCCATGAAGCTGTTTAAAATACAAGATAGAAAACACGAGGCCCTCCGGGCACGCTCCCACTGACAACAAACGTAAACCTCCAAGGGGAGAAATGGACACGAGACACTTCAACAAAGACAACTGAAAACGTGATTTGCCACATTATGATAACAATAGTGTTATATTATGATATTCTCGTTTGTTTCTTTCTGTTTTAAAACCTCTCAAATTAAAGGAAGATATCCCATAAATGCATTGAAAGGGTTCTTGCTAATCAAGAATAAAAGACAAACCCACTAAGAGAAAACTTGAAAAAGAATAAAAACAGTTGATCTACGAAAGGCACTGAAAGGGCCTACATAAAAATTGTGAATCCTCATTAGACAAATGCAAATGAAAACAACAGTGAAATTTCTTCCTACGGGCAAAATTGTCCGAGACACCCACGCCAGGGATCATATCCGGGGCCAGCGTGAACAGACCGGCGCAGGGAAGCCTCCCACGTGCTGTCCGGAGGGGTACAAATTAATATTAATCTTTTTGGGAATTCATTTGGCAATATAGAGCAAGTCCTCAAAATGATGTCCTTATTTGGACCTAAGAGTTCCAGCTCTGTAATTTTTTTCTGTAAATAACCATAAATATAGAAAATGATTTCAGTAAAACCGTGTTCATTTCTGAAGTGTTTTCCAAACACTAGAAATCGTCACAATGTCCAAAAATTAAGGTTGATTGAATAAATGGCAGTATTTATGTGTCACAGAATTTCAGGCTGCCAGAAGACATAATATTCTGGAAGGATACATAATGCCGTGAAATAATATTCGCTATGTGCTAAGAAATCTGTTTACGAAATATTTACAGGATGAATGCATATGTGCAAAAGGATATGGAAGATATTAACAAAACGCTCAATGTGGTAAACTCAGAGTGGCAGAACTGAGGAACATTCTGTATTCCCTTTGCTTGTCTCTCAATTTTGCTTTTTTTTGTTTTTTTGAGATAGGAGTTTTGCTCTTGTTGCCAGGCTGGAGGGCAGTGGCCCCATCTCGGCTCAACACAACCTGTGCTTCCCAGGTTCAAGTGATTCTCCTGCCTCAGCCTTCTGTGTAGCTGAGATTACAGGCGTGTGCCACCACGCCAAGACAATTTTTTTTGTATTTTTAGTAGAGATGGGGTTTCTCCATGGTGGTCAGGCTGGCCTCGAACTCCCGACCTCAGGTGATCTGCCCGCCTCGGCCTCCCAGAGTGCTGGGATTATAGGTATGAGCCACCGTGCCCGGCCCTCCATTTTGCATTTTTTTTGATGAATGTGATTTGGTGATGAGAGGTCATGGGCACAGTCCTCAGAGCAGGTTCTCTGGAGCAGACTACCTGGGTCCCAGCCTCAGCTCCCATGGCTGCCTACAAATCCCAGGGCAATTTGCTTCACTCCCCCATGCCCAGGTTCCAGGTATCGACTGCGTCCCAGGGCTGTTATGAAGATGAAGTGAGTGTGTACATGCAGGCCCTTGGACTAGGGCCTGGCCCGTAGTATGGGATAGATCAATACTACTTATTGTCATTATTAGACGGGATCAATACAATGGATAATTATCGTTAAATAATGCATTCATGCCATTTATCAACTCTCTGCAAAGCACTGTTTTCAGGGCTGAGAATTCAGCAGCCAGGTGGGCTCTGTCCTTGGGGGCACACAGTTTGTGCCTGCTGGGCCTCGCCTTCCCCATGTGCATCTTCTGGCCTTTTGTGCTGTCTTTCCTGTGGCCTGGAAGCTGGCTGAGAAGCTGCCTGAGCCCTCCAGTGTTCACAGCCATCCCCAGCAGCTGGCAGGGTCCATCTCAATGGCCATCCCTGCTAGTTCCCTGATCTGCCTGCCTCCCTTCCTCTTTCCCTCTCTCCCTTTTTTCCCCTCCCCCCCCCATTCCATCCCATGTTTCCTCCTTCTTTCCTCCTTCCTTCCCTCCCTTCCTCCCTTCCTCTTTCCTTCCTTCCTTCCTTCCTGCTTTCCTGACAGGGTCTCCTCTGTCACCCAGGCCAGAGTGCAGTTATACAATCAGAGCTCAATGCAGCCTCGAACTCTTGGGCTCAAGCGATCCTCTCACCTCAACCTCCTGAGTAAATGGGACTACAGGTGCGCACCACCATGCTGTCTAACTTTTTGATTTTTTGTAGATATGGGGTCCTGCTGTGTTGCCCAGCTGGTCTCGAACTCCTGGCCTCAAGCTACCCTCTCTTCTTGGCCTGCCAAAGTGCTAGAATTATCGGCTTGAACCACTGCACCCAGCCATGCCCAGGTTCTGCAGCCAGAAGCCTGGGGAGTCTCTTGGGACCTCTCTGCCATGCCCACCACTCTGGAGTCCCCACAGCTCATCAGCTGTACTTCCTGGAGAGCTGCCAAGACCCCTCATCCCTGTCCTCACAGCTGCTCCTGAGAAGCTAGCCACCCTGGCTGTCACCTGGATTTTCCCAGCCACTGCCAAGCTGGCTCCACTCCCTCTGCCAACCTGGGTCCTCCCCAGCCGTCAGAGTAAGCTCCTGATACAATGCATGTGGGATATGTGTGTGCAAGGTGAAGCCTGCAGTTGTTTTCAGAAGGCGGCACAGATCCAGGGGCGAGCAGGCACCGCAGCCAGCCACAGGCTCCCCGTGCCATTCGGACACCTGTGTGCTTGCTTTAGGGGACAGCGCTGGCCTCGCATAAAATACATTTTTCTCCCACGTATCAGCGGGACATCCTGACATGTCACCCAGTGAAAACATCCAGCTCCAAATTCAGGATCTCAGGGGCCCCTTGGTCAGTTGGGCACCCACAACCTAACGGCAAATATAAGACACACTCACTGCAGAGGAGCGGACGGAGGAGGGAACCACAACCCACCCCCAGCCGACCACAGCAGAACACAGCCAGCAGTGGACTCATATCCCCAGGAGGGCAGCAAGGACGCCACCTGACTGCAATACGTGCCGGGGGCTGCACGCTGGTCAGCCACCCTCCTCTCTGGGTGACGTCCCTTTCTATTGTCCTCCTCAGCCAAGCTGGGTACCCACCGTGCGGGACACCCCTCCCATGGGCCAGGCCTCCGAAGCATCCCAGGACCGGTGGCTTGGTGTGGGGTGAGAGCTGAGGACTCCCTCAAGGGTTAAACAATTGCCACCCCTGTGCTTTTGGGAAGGAGTGAAGGCGATGGTGTGATTATTTAATAGACTTATTTAGGGTTCAAAATCCAAACTCCTGACAATTCCAGCTAGTAATCAAAAACAGCCCATCAACAACAGCAAAAAATCGTCAATCTGCAGCGTGTGTTGGGATCCAGAACGGAGCTTTCTGTTCCCTAGCAACAGAATTCAGGCTGCGCTCAGCCCCATCCTCAATTTCCATCGTGGTCTCTCTCTCCAGGCCTCTGGAAACACGGCCGGGATGGGGCTGGACCAGGTACCTGCCTTTGCCTTCGGGCTGTCTGGGGTGGTGTCTCTGTAATTACATCAAGGGTGCTGTCCCACGGGAGGCCCCGCCTCTTCAGTCTGATCTCTGACCCCACACGTCCCCTGTCTCCCGCTCCTCGGCTCCCTCTACTTGTAACCTGGGTGGAGAATTCACCTTTTCCAGCATCGCCAGGTTTCAGACTCTTAACCATTCTGGACTCCAAGTCACAAGCACCAAGCGTTCCCCTTTCATTCCCTTTTTTTGGAAATTTTCAGCGCGCAATGCACCAGCCACTACATTCCCACAGCCCAGGGTTTCCCGCCATAGCCCTAATGCTGAGGTCACAAAAACCTCAGCGTCTGAGTTCCCGCATACAGCAGGCCGTGGACCGCACTGCACCCCTTTTCCTCAGCTTGGGAGCGCTCCCCAGCCACCCCACTGTCACCACAGCCCCTGTCCTTGGCAGGAAGGCTCCAGTGTACCCTCCCAAAGTCAAGGTAGACGGCATCTCTCTTCGAACCATATTTTTAAAACAAAGAAAATTACTGTAAACCAAATTATTGGGTGGGCAACCAGCATTTCGAAAATGGATTAGGATGGAATAGAGAACATCAGAGTATTGTTGGGGTAAATACTGCTCCGGAAACGTTCACTTCAAGCATGTGTGTGCATGTGTTCACGTGTGTGCACATGTGTGTTCATGTGTGTGTGCTCATGTGAGTGCACATGTGCATATGTATGTGCATGTGTGTGTGTTTGTCTTAAGAATGAGACAAAAAGGGTGTGGATAGCAGCCTACCAGAAGCCTGCCCTGGCACCGGAAGCCCGCCCTGGCACTGGAAGCCCGCCCTGGCACCAGAAGCCCACCCTGGCACACACCTGGCTGCGCTCGAGAGCATGATTCAGGGTAAATGCTCCCTCCTGGCTCTCCACTCCCTCCCATCGTGACGGCCGCCACATTGCACTGGAATTGTTTCCTTGTCTGCTTCCCAAACTGACAGAAACTCTGTGTCTTGTTGGCTTTCCCAGCCCCAGTGCCTGGCCCTAGTAGGTGCTCCACGAGTAGAGGCTGAATGAAGGCATGTCTGGTGCAGGAGTTCCGCATGGACAGGATGAAATGGAAGCTGTCACATTTTAAAAGCCACGTCCTTTTTAGCAGGATAAAAGGCTTCGGTGGAAGTAATGAAGTGGTGAAGGTGGAGACCTGGGCATCAGTGGTTGGCTCCACAGAATCCCATCAAGGGAGGCCCTCCCTGCCAGGGTCCCATGACCACCCTGCACATCCAGAGGCAAGGGGTGCGTGACCACCCCAAAGTTGTCAGGACCCCCAACCTCTGCAGTCACCTCCCTGCCAGGAAAGAGAGCAGCGAGAAGCCGCAGTTGAGAAGATACTAAACAGGAAAGTCAGTGTTTTAATTAAACAGGGATTGAAAACTGCTGGGGAAAAACAAGCGTGGAAACAATCATATTAACGCAAGAATCCTGTCGGAGCCCCTGGCAAGGACGCTTCAGTCCACACCAACCACTGGGATGGGGGTTAGAGGACCTGCAGTGAGCAACTGCCTTTCTTGGCCTCAGTTTCTCCAAAGTGTTGTGTGTGTATGTGTGTGTGTGCATGAATGTGTGTGAGTGTGAGAGACTGAAGGAGAATACGTGTGCACGTGTGGTGCGGTTTGTGCTCCAGGGGTGAATGCCCGCAGGCATGAGCTGTGCATGAGTGTAGGGCTGGGTCCACATGCCCTCACCAACCTGGACCAGGCCTCAAGATGCAGGGAGGACGCTGCTTCTCGCTGGTTGCTCAATCCGACTCGCAGGCCCTCTACTGGCTCCTCAGAAAAGGGTCTCTGGCTCCAAAAGAAGCTCTCGGGGTGCTCCAGGCCCCAGCCCCTGTGCCGGATGGAGATCTTGTGAGTCCCGGGGCAGGAGTCCTATTGGCCGCCAACCTGCAAGAAGGGAGAGCTCGGGGTGGCGCTGCTGCAGGTGCCCGCAGGAGCCAGTGCCTCCCCCGGCAGCAGGGCCACCCGGGCCTCCCGGACTGGGGAGCGAGTCTCCTGGGCTGCAGAGGGAGGTGCAGAGGGAACATAAGCAGCAGAGGTGGACATGGGGAACGTGTCCTCATGGGGCCCACTCTTCCCATTTTTAGCTTGTTGTTAGAGGGGTGAACTTGTTTTGCAGATGGTCATTGACTGTGCAAGTAAAATAGATGACGGTCACTGTCACCCTCTCAGAAAGCACACCTCCATAGGACCAGTCCCGGGACTGGAAGCCGGAGGCGCCACCGAGAGCTGGTCCTGCAGGGACTCCAGGAAGATGGGCCAGGAGATGGCTCAGCAAGGAATCGGCCGTGGCAGAGTGGTCCTGGGGCGGAGGACGGAGGGGACGTGCGCGCCTGTGCCCGGCAGTGCCACACAGGGGGGAGGAGGAGCCCTCATGCGCGCGGGGCCTCCCGTGAAGGTGACTCTGCTGCGGTCCGAGGCTGTGCTCCCCGTGGACTCAGGGACCCCACTGCACGAGCCCTACTTGGGGTGACAGGGCCCCCCCCTGGGGAACAGGCCCAAAGCACCCTCTACTTGGAATAAGCTCCGGGTCCAAGTCCCACAACCCACCTTAGGAGACGTCTGGCCCCCACCCTCAGCCTTCCAGGCCTCGGCGGCGGCAGCGGAGGGGGACCCGGAAGGCCCGAGTCCGCAAACTTCACCCGGCCAGGCCGTCCTCCGGGGTGCCCAGGCTGCGGGCGCGCCAGGCCGTCTCTGTCGCCATCCAGAGGAGCGGCTCGGGCGCGGCGTCCCTCCGCCCGCCTTCTTCCCCGCCAGTCCCGGGTCGGCGGCGGGAGCCCCCCGCGGCGGCGGGCGCGCGCGTCTCGCACGGATGCCGGGGCGCGCTTAGCCGGGGCGCGCAGTGACGCCCAGAGCGGGGCCGGCGTCCCCCGGGCGGGCCGGCGCGGGGTCGGC